TTGGGCAGAGCTCCTTTGCACTGCCCAAGGACCAGGCCAGCCCCACCTCCTTGGCCGACCCAAATCAGTGACAGCCTCTGATCCCAGCCCCACCTCCTTCCTCCAGCCAGCTGTGAGCTAGGGATATAAATATTGTTTAAAAAATATTTGTTTAAGCTCCTCTAATTATATCAGTTAAACAACTGATAACAGTGGACACAGCTGCTGTTGGGAGCCACTACAGCAGGGGCAGGCAGTTTCAGGTGGAGGGCTGCTTACTGAGTTTTGGCAAGTCATTGAGGGCCTCATGACAGGCAGCCAGGCACAAATAAATATTAATTTTCTAAATTTTTAGGGGCCCCGTGGGCTGGATAGAATGGCCTGGCAGGCCGTATCCATCCCGTGAGCCGCATTTTGCCCACCCCTGTGCTACAGGCTCCCAAGAACCCTTTGACTGGGAGGAAGAGAGGAGGAGGCAAGCTTAGCCAGACAACACAGCCCACATGAAGCCCTGCACTGGGAGGGAGGGAGCACCTGTGAATGAGCAGCTAATGGCTCAGTTGTTGAGTCATTAGGCTGTTCACTGTTTTCCTCATTAACTAGTCCCCATAGCCCCTTCTTCCTCCCCTCCTCCTGCCTGTCCTGCCTTCTGCTTCCAGCTGGTGCACTGGGTGGGTTCCCTTCCCTGCCAGACTGTGGCCACCGTGAGCTAAAGGATAACCAGTAAGCTAAATGGTTATCACTGCACTTCTCAGTTAAAAGTTTAATCGTTTAACCTTTTACATCACTTCTGTGAGCCATGGTCTGCTGGGGATTGGGGGATGGGAAGGAGGGAAGTCTCTCTCCCTGCAGCTGCTTTGGCCCTATTTCCCACCACAACCTGGCCAGAGGGGCTGCACAGGTAGGGGTCCGGGGTCTCTCTCCCCACAGCAGCCCTAGCTCAATGGCACATGGCTGCCAAGCTGCAGAGGGATATGGGGAAAGGGGTTTGGTCTCTGTGTCCCCACAGCAGCTCTGGCCCTGCAACAGAGCACTGCCTGGCCAGGACTGCTGCAAGGATACAGTGCAGCCCCCGTGGACTGGGCAGGAGGACTGCCCAGCTGTTGGGGAAGGGATCTAGGTTCTCTCTCCTCACAGCAGCCCTGGCCCTGTGGCCTGCTGCTGCCTGGCTGGGGGAGGGGTCTCTCTCTCTCTCTCCAGCTGCTGATGACAATTGTCAGCTGGTGGGAGGGCAGGGGCTGGGGAGAGGGGGCCACTCTGGCAGCCTCCTGGGAAGCATGTGGTAGCACCCCCAGTAGCCAGTGCAGATAGGCACTGAGGCCTCCACACCTCCCTCTCCAAAAGCAAACATCTGTTCAGTTCACTTGTGCTCTAACTTATAGCAGTTTAAGTAAAGTGTGGCAGAGCGCTTCTGCCAAGGGCTTTTTGAGCATCTGTATTTAGCCGTGATGTTTAAAAATGCTACTAGGAATAGTGTCAATTTAGTAATTAGTCATTTCCAAAACATGAAATAAAAGTCATTTAGGGATAACGTCTATTATGAGTCCCACTGAAAATTAATGGTTTTACAGTCATAGTTTCCATTTTCTTGTGGTTTTTCTTTTGTTACCTATGTAAAACTTGAACCAGCAGGGGAAACAGTCAAACTCTCTTTCTCAGCTTGGCTATTTATTCTTACCTTTCACAGTATTGCCAACCCCACCATGCCAAAAATCATGACACGAACTCTTAAAAAAAAAATCAAAAGATTGGCACACAAGTCATGAGATGCTATTTTTGAAGTGTGTAGGGTGGTTATTTGTGAAGGGTTTGAGGGCTATGGGTGTGTGTGGGTCTTGGAGCCTGGAGAGTCAGGCTCCCCAAACCCGTGGCAGGATGCGGGGTACTGTGGGTCAGGAGTGAGAAGCAGCAGCAAAACTGGGGGGCTGTGGCTTGGGAGTGAGGGGCAGACTGAGACACAGCACCTAGCTGATAAGTGGAGAGAAAGGGAAGGGGTGTAGGAGATCCAGGCCCCCATGTTAAGGGTGGGAGTGGGACAGGAACAGGGGCACAGGTGAATGGGGCCCTGGAATTCAGGCAGGTCATCCAGGGGTGGAGGGGATCATGGCTCCCCGTAGCAGTGCACCCCCCAAGGAAGACATGAGGTCACGTGCCCCCCAGGGGGCAGAGGCAGATTGCTCTCTGCGGGCAACCTGCCTCCGTACCATGGGGGCACATGTCTCCATGGGGGATGTGTGCTGCTGTGGGGAGCTGCTCCCCCCTCACCCCCCCGCCTCTGGATGACCCACCCTGGCCCTAGGGCCCCATTCACCTTGCCCCTGCTATTGCCCCACTCCCTCCCTCACCGCAGGGTCTCGATCTGCCCCCTGCTTCTTCCCTCTCCCCCTGCCCCTTTCCCTTCACTTACCAGCTGGGAAAATCCAGTGATCTGAGGGTTGGATCAGGAGATCGTGAGTCAGAGTTATTTAAACTTTGCAATCCCAAGCAGAGCTGCCTGGTGGGGGAGAGGGAATCTGGGCAACTGCCCTGAGCTCAGCACTTGGGAGGGCCCTGTGGAGCTGGGTGGAGTGGCTGTGGTGACTGTACTGCTGCTGGCTTCACGCCCAGCCTCTCAGCACCCCCACCCCCCCACTGTCGAATCTGCTGCCAGCTCCTTGCATCCGGGGGCAGGGCCCCACGCAGGCTGATTTGCCCCAGACCCTGCACCCTGCTCGGGTCATCTCTGATCCCAAGTCTTTCAATGGTTTCACAAAACAGTTGCATTACTGCTTTCAGTTACAGTAATCTTAGTTATTACTTCAAACTCTGTAGCTGCACAAATAAAAAACAAAACTGTGTACGGCGTTTAAGTCGACTCATTTTCAGTTTTCTAAGTATGAAATCTGTAAAGAAAACTAAATTTCAGCAGCATTATTTGAAGATCATTAGAAGAGTAACCTAACTGCATTTTCAGTAAAGGATTAAGTATGAACAAAAATACAATACTTCTTTCTCATTCCTTTATAAACCTTTTGATTTATTCACAGTTTTCTTCCCACCTGGGCCACGCAAGTACTTCTCAGACCAGATTAGAATCAGACTCTCCAGTAATAGTCACTAGTACAGCTGTAGGATCTGGCATCATCTCAGCTCAAAAACTGGTAACAAACTAGAATTAAATGGATTCATTTTTCAAGATTTTCCAGTCATCCTAAAATCTATTTTGGAGGACTTCTGAGTGATATTTTGGGGATAAGTTATAGAAATATGAAGAGGAGGAAATCATCTAAGAATTTAGATGAAGATTTGGGCAAAAGCTAGAAACTGCTCCAGTTTGTCTTATAGGGATTTTTTTTTCATAGTGAAAGAGTATTAAACAATGTTGAATGGTTTTTGGGAGAGGGAAAATTGTGGAGTTGACAAAGGAGAGAGAATGAATGTAAAGATAATGTAAAATCATAAACTGAACAACAGGAGTAATTCACTTTTTAATTGCTGAGAGAAGCTTTAAAAAAAATAGCTGTCTTGTTTCCCACTTGCTGCTCATTCCTTCCCCTGCACTTCCCACCACTCCACATTTGTTTCTAAGCTGTTCTTTTTGCTTTTCTTCCTCCGCTAGCTGCTATCCTCTCTCCTTTTCCCATCTGATGCAATTTGCTGCTGGTATGTCTCCAGGGAAGGAGGAAGGGTTGGAAAATGGCAGCACTTCATTTTCATGTGTAAGCTTTTTGGTGCCTGGCATGTTATTGATTCAAGGACTCTGCCAGGGTGATGTGGGTGCCTACAGCTGTTACTGGCTTGCAGCCTTAAAGCAAAGCTAGAATTGTTACAGATTGCTAGATTTGTCAAAATATCTGACAAAGAGGCCACTTTCATGCTGATTTTATTCCTTTTCAGCACTATGCCCACTTACCACATCACAGTACTCACACTGCTTGTAGTAAATATATATTCTCTACATAGGATGCAGAATGCCATGGTAAACTAATTGCAATTAAGTATCAAATTTTAGCTCTGCTTACTGTATGTAATCTCAGTTATACAGTACTGGGATGTTCTATTCATATATGCAGCTAATAAGCCTAAGCAGCTGTACAGGTGCATTGTAAACATTATACTTCTGCCAACTACTGTCTTGTTTGTTTATAGCCCATGGCAAGAGTAGTGACTTCTGCTCAACAGAAAGCAGGAAGAACAATCACTGCTCGAATCACAGGCCGGCCTGATTTGGGGCAAAAGAACAGAATTAGTAGTTTAGCTGTAATGGGAGTCTCACCACCCATGAGTTCAGTCATTGTAGAAAAGCATCATCCAGTAACTCAGGTAAGTGAAATGGACCTTTACCCTACCTCCTGCCTGCAAGAAGATTAAAAACTCCTCAGGACAGAGGTCATTTGCTGAAGGGCTGTTAGAATAAATAAGAAGCATTCTTGATGCTAGGTGGGCACTGGAATTAAAACTTGCATCAAAATGAGGGAAGGAAGTAAATACCTCCCCTTCTGCTCCACCCTAACACCTTCACTTAGTGGACAGCCATGTTCAGAGCTGTGGAAGCAAGTCCTGTTTGGTTCCTTATGTCTTCTTCTACTGTCCCCTTTCTCCATCATTCAGTATATGCAATAACTTTGGGAATGATTTCTGTCAGTCACTTGATAGACAAAACTTGTATACCAACTTAATTTTAATGGTGAGAAGTGTGACTGGCCAAAGGTATAAAAATAAGATGGAGTGATTGATATGCATCCCTTGTCTTAATGACAGTCTCCCAAGCTACCATCTTGTTTGCATGACAACAAAACAAAGCGATTAATTAAACCTGCTGTTTGTTGCAGTTGATTCATTCTTTCCTCTTTCTACCATGCAAACTTCTATGCAGTATGTTGTGGGACAGTGAATATATTAGTTAAGTTTCAAATAGACAATATATTCTAAGAAAAACCATTTGTGCGGTGGCCTAATTAGCTGAAAGATATGAGTTAGCCTATGTCATTTCTTGAGCTAATTAGGCTGGCTACTGCCAGGGTAAGAGCTCTTTTTTGCTTTGAGCGGATGCAGGAGATCCAGCTTTTTTGGCTATAAAGTTCTCTGATTTTGGCCCAGATAATCAGAAAGGTCATTCTTTCGTCCCCTTGATCAGTACTGCCATAAATCTGATCAGCACCAGTACTTTTGCTCTCTTGGTCTAAATAGACATGCTTAGGGGCTGAGTGTTTGCAGTGAAGGATCCTCAGCTCTGCGTTTCCATCCTCTTCAGTCTATTAGACCTTTCTGACATACTTTCTGTTGGATTTTAGGAAACATTCAGGTTGAGAGTAAGTGGGGTTTAGTTTCATCAAGGGGCCAGCAGGGGTCTTGAAACCTGGTGTGTGTGCTTAATTTTTCTTAATGAAAGTGACTGAATTTGGATGTGACTAGTCACTTTGGCTATTGTGCTAGAGAGTGTCTCTTGTAACTTCAAGATGCCTGCAACTTAGAAAGGGAGCTGGGAGCAGGGGGGAGAAAAAGGAGAGGTTTGTGAGAAGAGATTTTTTTTAAGACACTTGTACATTTTTGCTCTATCCCAGAACTTGAAAAAAGAAGCCATCAGTTCCATTGCAGTTCTCTGGCCCAGAGGCTCTTTTTTTAGGCCTCCCTTTCCTACATACCTTCCTACTCATGTGCACTTGGCAGTAAATGCCTGGTGCAGAGTCAGCTAGCCTGAATTGTATTTTTCTGATTGAATTAATTGTTGGCAATGGAGAGAAGCTGTCAGGAATGGTGTTAGTTTGATTAAAAAGGGATTGACTGCTACTTATTGCTGCAGAGAGACCATCTGCCTACAATGAAAATGTAACCACCACCTTGTCTGAGGGTATTTGCTTGGTAAGATTTCTTGGTATGTCTTTAGGGGGTGGCTAACTCGCTTTATTTAAAAGTGATCTTAACTTCAAAGCAGTGTTGCTATAATTAATTAGAGCTACAGTCAAACTTTCAGAGACCCAAAGGAAAAAAAAATAACCAAGAGGCCTGAATTAGGCACCCTGAGCTTTTATGAGATCAAACACTGAAATTTGTGTTTTTAAAAAGAATTAAAATATAGATGGTGGTGGATGTCAGGGAGTTAGACACAGATGCCACTTCTTCTTTCTTCTAAATCATTACCAGTTCTAAGGTGCAGATCATGATGTTCCAGCTAATACAATGGGAAACTGTTTCTGTGAGTACTTTTCGTAGTTCTGATGTATCTTTTTTTTTCCCCTTCAGCAAACCATATCCCAAGCCACTGCTGCTAAATACCCTCGAACTCTCCATCATGCTTCTAGTGCCACCACTGTGAGACCTACAGGACAGGGTGGACGAATGCCCCATAGCCAGTCTCATCCTCATGTTCAGTCGATAAAGGTTGTTGATTAAGTTAATGCTTTGAAATGTGTGTATCCTTTCCAACAGGCAGAGGGTTTTGCCAAGTCTCAGTTTAAAGCTATTCCCCATTGTTTCCAGGTTGCTATCACATGGCCAATCATGTTTTTACCTATTCAAAACTGTACTGCAAATCTGCTCATGCTGATGTTTTTTCTTCAAAACCGTTAAATTAACTTTTGAAATACAGTTCTCAAATTGCAAAGAATGCCTGTTTGAGAGAACCTGTTATAGCTGTATTCTTATTTAAGGAATTTGTTATATAGTTTTTAATAAAAGATCCAAACAGATATTAGTCTGATGGGATTTTTTAACACCCCCAATTTTAATTCCCCCAATTGCTTGGAGTGAGATATAAATCAAGTCACCTAATCTGGTTTCAATTATCTGCTGACCCTACAGAGACAGGGCATAACTCTAAGAGAATGGTAGGCCAGCAGTTTTAGCGAGAGTGACACACAATGCATTACACAAATGTTCTTTAATCATCAGCTCCCAAGCAGTTTCCCTTTTTCAAACAGCATTGCTTAAGCTCATGTTGTAATGCAGGACAGAATTGGACTCAAGACGTCAGAAGGCCGGAAAAAACTAGAGTTCAGTTTACCAACTTCACCCAGGAAACAGTTATGCTCAAGAAACAGGAATTCCTCTCCATACTCCTCAAGCAGCAAATGGAATGAATGCTGTTAAATGTTCAGTACTGCCTTGATAGACAGAAAAAACGACAGCATATATTTGCTTATTTGGGAATGAATATTTAGCCAAGTTTGATTGTTTTCTTTTTACAAGACAGAAAAACTACTGTTCCTTTAACAGTTCTTTTCTGTGTAAAAAACAGTAATTAAGTCAAAAGTTATAGTTTTAAAGCTACTATTATAGGGTGCCTCATGATGGGAATAAATTTAATGATGAATTTGCACCCACCTACAGTGTAGTCAAGGTGCCTCTTGTATTTTGCTGTGCTAGGATTAGCCTTGGTTAAATTTAATTAGTAGTTTATCTAGGCAATCAGGGTAGCTTTTCTGAAATGTCTGTTGGCCAGACTAGGCTAGTGTTTACTGTGGCTTTGTCCATGCTAAGAAAATTAGCATTTTCAGTGCTGGACACACACACCAAATAAACATCCACCAAAAACCATACCCCAAGTTTAAACAAGAAAAAAGCCAGCGTCAGACAGAAAACTCTGATCAGATTCTTGTGGGCAGTATAATGAACTGAATTAGGCCAGGTGCTAGCCTATTTACAGATGTGTTTAATATTTATCCACACAATCCTGACTTATTAAACATCACTTCCTTAAGCTACAAAATATGCCTTTTATTTCTTATCAAGCACAGAGTAGCTTAACTGCATAGTTCCAATGTGGAATTACTGCTGTGATGTAAGCTGGGTACAGAAATTGTAGCATATGTGTTTTTTCTCAGACCTGTTAATTTCTAACAACCGACCACTCTCCAAAAACAGTAAATAAACTGTATACTTACAACTGTCAGAAAATGACAGTGTGTGGAATTAAACAAAGAAACTAACCTGAGAAGTATTTCTGGCAGGTAAGTTTTGAGAGCTTGAAGAAAAAACTTTTGTAGACTTAAAGCAGGCAAGTTACATTTTTCAGATATAATCTTTCTAGAAACAGTATTCACAAATAGCAAACAATTCCATGGTGTGTGCTCTCTTCTGTTGAAGTCAGGAAATTACACATTTTCTGGAATCCATATCAGTGCTGCTTTCAGCTCTGATCTTTTCTGTAAAAAAAAAAAAAAAAAAAAAGGGGGGGAAAAATGATGTTTGTTCCTCTGTTGCAGTAAAAAGGAAAGCTGTTTGCAGTTATTTAACTTGGTCTAACAGCAAGTGTATTTGAAAAAAATATGTCAGTGCTCTCAATCTGCTGTGATCAGTCTAAACTACAACCACCTATAAGGGTCTAGGCTTTATTGTAGCAAAAAGTGTACAAGTCATAAGTTTGAGATTTAAGAGGAAGACAAGGCAGACAGTAATC